GGGGGGGGGGCTACATGTGTACCAGCGTGGTTTGTACGGGTGAGTAACTGTATTCCACAAGTATATTGTTGTTCATTGTGTATGTTTTTCTGTTGTATTTGTGATTTAAGTTTGTGACCCTTAAAGTAAGATTTGATTTGAATGGTTTTTATATAAGCTGAAGCTGTGTTGCACACTGTTGTGCTGGAACAGTAATTTAAGTGGGCTTGGTCCATAAGTAGTCTTATTCTTTTCATGAACAGTGTTGCTTGACATACTGTGTAGTGGCTTACTACCATAAGACAGAAGTAGTTTTGTGTAGTCCATACTGCTTATGCACATTGGTTTACCATAATTTTCTATTGTATAATTTTTGATCACTTGTTACACCATTTTTCACATGACGTTTGTAATTCTATATCAGTCTTATTTTACATTTACATTATATTGTTTCATTTTTCTTTTCTTCTTCTTCTTCTTCTATGGCGCAACAGCCCGATGTCGGGCCTTGGCCTCCCTTATCAAGCCCCTCCATTCCTCTATCCTGCGCTGCTCTCTTCCAGTTCTTCTTTGCATCTTCTTCCACCACATCAATCCATCTAGTTCTTGGTTTCCCAGCATGTCTCCTACCACCTATTGTACTGTATAATATTTTCTTTGGGATACACTCCTTAGCTATTCTCTGTACATGCCCAGCCCATTGCAATCTTTTAAGCTTTATCGTCACTGAGATCTCTGGCTCCTTATATAATTTGTACAACTCTTTATTATATCTTATTCTCCATAGCCCATTCTCTTTTATTGGTCCACATTTTTCTTTACACTCTCACAAATTCTGTTTTACAGAATTTGCTACCTGTTAGCTGGAGTGTCTGTCTCCTTTGACCCCGTACTTTGTGGTCACTTTGATTCCGAGTCCCTTTATCCCTTTCTCCCTGCCACAGTTAAAAAAATGAATGGTTATTTGTGGGGGGCATGTTGTAGCGTAGTTGGCTAAGGCACCGTGCAACAAGCCAGAAGGTCTCAGATTCAATTCCCAATGAGGTCATTGGACTTTTCAATTTACCTAATTCTTCCATCTGTACTATGGCCATGGTGTCGACTCAGCCTCTAACAGAAACAAGTACCAGGAGCCTTTGTGGATATAAAGGGTGGCTGGCACATAAGGCTGACAATCTAAACACCATCTGTGAGCTGATTGTCTAGAAAATGTAGGAGCTTTGACATCTCAAAACCCTGTAGACCTCCATGGCCTCTTACAGGGATAACTTTAGATTTTATTTGCTGTCTTGATGTCCAACCCATCTATGGTAGCGTGTATACCCATGACAATTTGAGGACAGTAGCTTGAGCCCTCCTGAACTCTGCTTGGCACAGATGGTTCAGACTTAGTCAGATGCTCCACATCATTGTCTTTGTTTGTCCTCTGCTTTTCTGCTTATCATGAGGCTTAACTGCATCTGGTCAAGATTATTTCCCTTTGGAGTTTACACAGTCAGTATATGTGTGCTTCTCATGCTGTCATATTGGAAAGGCAAGGGGCAGTTTTCCCAGTATCTGATGGAGTCCCTTTTGTAGGCTTGCAAGGGTCGCTTGATCTTTGGTGATAAGGGAGACTGCCATAAGCTGGCGGAGAAGAAGAGTAGTTGTGGATCTAGTTATGTTCCGTCAAGAACCTTAGGCATGAGTTGGATATGAATTTCCCCCACCACTTGTCCTCTGTGAATCTGTGCTTCCAGTATGTGGTAGATACACTTTATGATAGTTAGATAAAGAAATATCTTGCCTTAAAGTCTTGTGGAACAAGATTCTGATTATGATGTGGTTCCAGTTAGTCTTGTCAAAGATTCATATGAGATGTTAACATGGAATGGCTAGAACATGGGGGATACAGAAATACATTTTGTTGGAAAGCCTAGATTGGTTCCAATATAGCAAGGAATATCTTGGCTAGCCGTGCTGCTGTCAGTTGCTCGTATTTGGATATTGCATGGAAACAGAGTAAATAAGCTAAACAGTGTTGTAAAGGACCATGGCGTGACAGGAATTGTTTTTATTTTGACTGCTAACTTGACCCTTATTTCAGGGTATGGATGCTGATAATGAACGGATGATATTTGAACTGCTGTTGACTACATCGAGACGGAATGACAGTGCTCAGTACTTCCTACTGACTCCAAAGGTAATGTCTAATTACAGCTGTATATGTGTAAGTGCAGGTTCCTGATTGTGTCACATGCCTTCATTTTATTCCCGCCAATACTGGGCTCTGTATATTTTCCAGTCAAGGCATATTATTTCAAGTTCTTTCCAGTCTTTCCTATAATGTTGTATTAAATTTATCTTAGACCAAACTGTCGGGGTAACCTATAGGGACCTGGAGATGCCATTAGGAGACCTGTGCAAAATTTCTGTGTTCTGCATAAGAGATCGAGTTCCCTGGAATCCTCTAGCAGGGAGATAGGGTTTGGAATGGAAAGAGCACCACAGTTGCGATGGTGTCCTGGTTGTCCCTTTAGACCTTGAAAATCCTGGAGAGGGTTAAACATTTTTCTTTCCTGTGTGGAGGTGGGGTCAGATACCTCCACCATAACCCAGTGAATCATAGGAGGTGACAAAAAGGGACATCTCATATCTGAGACAGTAAAATATGGTCATGAGTCCCATGGGACTTGGCCCCGAAAATGACTGCACTGGAGAGGGCCAGCAGCAATTGTAAACGATAGACCCATCTTCTTGTCAGAGGGAGTACCGCACATTAACAAACCCGCAACTGTCTGACAGTAATAAAAATCTGGTTGTAAGCCCCAGTTGGGTGCTTTAATCCAAGGCAGACTGACTGACTGACTGTTGGTCATAATGTAAGATTCAGACTCAGGTCAAATTGTGAATTCAGTTATTATTTTGTAGTGCCAGAAAGGTGGAAACTTGTCTGTCTTAAGTACACTTCAGTGTCCCTCGTCAGCACTTCATATGGATTATCTTTGTTGCTGCCATCTGATCACACTGGTACAGCAGGTTATTTATAAATTTCAAATATAAATGGAAGGATAGTAAATGAGAAAAAGCAACAAGAATTTCTGGGAAGTATTAATCACCTACTTTCTATTCACTACAATTTGAATATTAGATACAAGTAGAGAAAACTCTGATATGTTGAGGCATTTAAGTAATATTGAGGTCATTACCTCGACAAATTGAGAGGTTGCACTGATGATGATACTGATGGGCAGGATTTATGAAATACACCATTGAGATGGCATGATACAATCTTTCATGATAGTCAGTACAGGTGCTCAAAAGTTGCTGAGGGGGATACAGACATACACAGAGACAGCAAGCTTATCTCATAAGCATACTTATATATCCCCCCCTCCCCACAAATAAGGAAAGTTGGCTAAAAGGGAAAGGGAACGAAAGCCTTTAACTAAGAGCACATACGGAAGAAAAATATCAGAGAGAAGTATGCAGTGTTATGGTATAGATGATCACTGTCCATTTACAGTATAAGCACATTCAAAAACTAAGTTATTGCAGTTTCCAACTTTTTATTTTCATGGGGTTATGGCATTTGTTTAATTGTTTCACAGGATACAGAGCATAAGACACTTGAGATGTTTTGGCCTAAACAGTTGCCATTACACCAACCTTCTGGGTACAGAATGTTTGGAATGATGTGTTTCATGTGGTTGTACCATCTCAACCCTTGTAGTGCCAGCCTCTAGGAGGTGGATATGCTATAAATACCAAACCATTTTTCCTTAAATTGCAAGCATTATGAAACACATTCTGTTAATCTCAAATTTGGCCCAGAAGTCTGGAGTAATTCCTTGCATTTCTCTGAGTACTGAAAAACGCAGTAAACTACTGGAAGATTATATCTGTTTAAATTTTGTGAATGGAAACAGAATATTCTTTCAGGTTTATAAATTTAAGAATATGTGAACTGCCCCTTCCCCTTCTTCTCTCAAATTATTACTTATTACCAGAGCCGTGAAGTAGAAAGAAGCAGCCCATCGTCACTGGCTCTATTGCTGTGTTCGCAAGCTCCCCAAGATATACGTGGGGTATCCAAGCTACAATGATACGTTGGCCCTTCAGATAACAATAAAGAGGTTTAATAACAAAATTACACAAAATTACAAAGAATACATAAGCAAGGCAGAACAGGGTACAACAACCCAATCCATGATTGCTGAGCAATCACTCGTCGCCACAGTTGCAACCAAGAATAAACTAACTCGCCCCAGCTTCCAACTTCCTTTGGGCGTTAAACGGGTTACCCCTGACAAACACAAGTAATACTGGAAATAAATAAGAAAATAAGACACACATCGCCACCGTTCTAAGCCAACGGCTTGCGATTGCAGACAACGTTTTGCCTTACAAGCCAGCCAGGTATTGAGAACACAATTTAGAAGTACCCCAGCTGAAACAGAATTCCAACAGCAATGCCTGCTAGCTGATAAGCGCCCTCTCAGGATGTCGTCTGACAGGCTGCAAGGCAGGTCTTTTCTTGTTCCGAGACAAGGAAGAGGGATAGAAGGTCACGTGATACAGACATGACGAGGGTAATACATCAACATATGGGGGTGAAGATGGAATCTGGGAATGGCAGACGCCATGATGTCACACACAAGAGCAAGCTGACCTTCAGCACGGCTCATGTGGATTTTATGGTTGAACGAAATATTCACATTAATAAATTATTTTCTAGAAAATATGGACCACTGATTATAGATCACTCAGTTCTTCTCATGGTAACAGATTTTCTGAGTTCTATACAAAATTGTTTAGATTGTTGACATTGTTTTGAAAGCATTTCACTTTTGTCTCTTTTAATATATTATTCAGTACACTTATGCTTTGAAAGACGCTACCCATGGAGGCCCCTGTTGTGTTGGCATGTGCAGTTGTTTGTAGTTCCCACACCTGTGACAAATCTTGCATGATTTTGTTCATCACACGCCCACAAACTGAGGTCATGAAACAAATTTCACCAAAATTACTCATGAAAGAAAGGAACATTGTTAGTTAGCTTTGTTTTAGGTTTACAATGTTAGTTAGCTTTGGTTTAGATAAACCATATTGTACCATTATCATAAATAATGTTGGAGAATATATGAGGTATATAAAGAAATGTCGAAGAAGTTAATTCATACCATCGTCTTACGTTGTTTTTTGATGATCTACCAACTTCACACAGACATATTATTTCCATATGTACAGCATTAAGAAATTGATGGTTAAAATGGTTTTGTTGCTGTGATATAGTCCTCATTATAAGCCTTACTCATTCTTGTGTAGTTTCACTGTATTTCACCCAAGGTACATTTTTTCCACTTGCAGTTGGAGAGAAATTTGTGTGAGGATGAATAAATTGCTGTGCATGTGTTTTTGTTTCATTTGCTGTCGAGTGTAGGATTGCTGTGATGAAAAATAGATAAAAAGATGCTGGATATGTTGAATTTGCAGGCAGAGCATGTTTAGGTACCTGAAATTCTTGATCCTGAAAGTTTGTCTGAGTTTATTATTGTCAGCTTCTCTCAAATCTAGATCAAGGTCACTACCACTTCATTCTGAACTTGTAACTCTCGGAGACCTGAAAGATGGGAGCATTAACACGACTTTGTTCTTGAACATAAGAACCATATCCAATGGAACAGCCAGTGATAAATGTGCAAAACAGTGCTGACTGATAAATATGACTGCTAACAGTAGAAGGGTTACCATGTGCCATGAATTACATTTATATGTGAGAAGAATAGGCTTCATTTGTGTTGTGTCTGACTGAGAACTGATTTCATTGCAGCTCCTGCCCTCACTGTTTTATGATGACATTATGAAAGTTCACTGTATTTACAATGGTCCCGGTGCTCTGTGCAGTGATAATTGGAATCTGAGTGACATTATTGCAAGGAGAAAAAGGCTTAAGCAGCAGTAGCTGTAATGCTTCTTGCTGTTCAAGCTGGAAGTTTTGCATCTCCAGCCTTCACTCTTATATAAGACCACATGAAGGATATTGCTGCTGTTGATGCTGTTCAAGCTCTTGAATCTTTTACAATGGAGGATGAGCGAGAGACTCAACCTGGCTGCATTTTGGAATCAGTCTACCGCATTTCACTTGTTTGCTCACCATGTCCAGTCCACTGTGAAAGAGCCTTCTTGAAATAAAGTGTGAAGTCATAATCCAAGCATATCTAATTTATTCTCCCCCGGGTCCCCCCCCCCCGATCAAATACTGGTGTGCTTTGGCCATGAGATTATCTTCAGGGGAAGAACAAATATTAAAGTAAGCTTTACAGTAAGTGTACTTCGTGGCGTTCCATGAGGTTTTAGTCTCGAGTGTTCAGGTTTTACTCCACAGATGGCGCTACAGTTTTTATTTAATATTTTTTTGTTAACTCACACTGAATTAGCCTGGTCTCAAGTGATGTTAAGGGTGGGGGGGACGATTCCCACTCTTTCATAATCTCATCCCCAGTACCTCCTGTCCTGCCACTTCAGAGGAGTGGCTTGCACAGCCCAATAAGAGATAATAAGAAACTACATTTTTAACTACACTTTGTGGCTTTCCATGAGGTTTTACTACACGTCTTCACAAAATTGTTTCCATTTTTATGCATTGCCGCTTATGTACTTGCTTTTGTTAGCTAGGTTTGTAGCAAAAATTACTACCTCCTCTTCTGTCCTAGTTCCACGCATGTGGGTGTTTTATCACAGTTTTTATTTCATATTTCTTAACTCACGCTGAATTAGCTTGGTCTCAAGTGATGTTAAGGGTAGGATAGGTTAGGTCCCACGCTTCCATTCACTTAATGGGTTTCCATGAGGTTTTAGACCTAGCGCACATATGCAATTTTTAGTTGGCGGATAGTTGTGCATGTCACCGAGAAACATTGCGTTTAATGGGAGTGTGCACACATAACGATAGTTGTTCCAACAGTCGGTGAGCAGGTGGGTTCTACCTCAACTGCCCGCCGACCCAACTGTTGTTGATAACGCCGGCGTACATGAGCTGTTATGGGAGTGCACACACATACAACTGGAAATCGGGCATGATTTGACCTTCAGTCAACAAGTTGTGTCTTTCCTGCCTGTCTTCGCGCTCGAACTAGTTGCAACATGTGGGATCAAAGCATCGAAAAGCTTATAGAAGAAGTGGAGAAGCGGCCAGCTCTTTATTTAAAATCACGTAAAGAATATTCTGATACTAATCATAAGAAAAGGTTATGGGAAGAGGTGTGTAAGACTTTGATTGAAAACTGGAATGGTCTGGCTCCAGAAGAGAAAAAGACTCAAGGTAATTATCTATACTTTAGGCAGTTATAATCTTCATAAATTACATACAGTGCCTTACATAATGCTTTAAGACAATGGATTTCTGTTAAATATTTTAATTATATATATAGTACAATTTTTTTCTTCCTTGGCACCACAGCCCCAGTGGGCCTAGGCCTACCTCCATGAACTTCATATAGTACAATTATTTCTGTTTACTTGAAAAGTTTTCTCTAATATATTGCATACACAGTAGGTGTTGTTGTTTCCCCCCCCCCTAGCGGGTTGGGACTAAGTCCCTTGTACTGTGGCCACTTCTGGCCTATTGTACCAGCCCCAGATGATAGGTGAAGGTGATTGTGGAGCAATTGGTGGAATGAAGATTGGCAGGGGAAACCGAAGTACTCGGAAAAAACCTGCCCCAGCACCACTTCGTCCACCACAAATCCCACTTGACCAGACCCGGGATCAAACACGGGCCGCCACAGTGGGAAGCCAGTGACTAACCGCTTGCGCTATGGCGCGGCATTAGTTTTAGCATCATCAATTTTTATTTTGTTGACAATTCTTACTGAAGTGTATGTAATAAGTCTAATAACTTAACATAAAAAAGTGATCGTACCCTTAATGTTATGTAAGAGAAAAGTACTATTTTTGTGTGCTTTGTGTTTGCAATGGGGCCCGCGGTAGCATAGTTCCTTGAGGCTGCAGAAAAATTTTATTTATTTATTCACTTTTCAATTTCTGTTGACAAAACACTGTGGTCTCGAACCCGGTACCTTCCCAATACTACGCCAATGTCTTACCCACGTACCACCAGATCTATACAAATCTGTTACGTTCACTTTCCTCATATAGTACAACTTGCTTCCTACATGCACAAATTTCTTAATTTTTTTTTTTTACAAAAATAGTCATGTCTTCGAACCACGTATCTCCTAAACCAGCATTTCTAAAACTTTTTTGAAGTGGGGACCACTTTTATAAGTCAGAACACTTCTGCAGACCACCTTACCCTTGTTCCCTTCAAAAGCAAATTTATCATTTAGCATATTTTAGTACCGGTATACTTATAATTTAAAATAGAATTAATTAAAATTAATTTAATTCAATTCATTTTATATTAGTATTAAGTAATTAAGTTAATAGAAGAAAATTCATATTCGTTTTTTAATAATTCAAGGCTATTAGAATTTGGATAATCTTTAACTTATTAACTAAAAAAAGTAAATAAATATTGGTATTCACATTAATGAGATGGGTGAGCCAGCCGATTCTTGCACAGTTCTACATTTGGATGTAGCTGGTAAGCTTAAGTCGGAGATCGTCACATACATCGAGTCAATTTCGGTACTTTGTTTTTATTTGAGTTAGTGATGGAAACCCTTTCTCACACAGATACGTAGATCCCTCTTTTGTTGCTGAGACTAGAGGGGGTAGTCGGTAGGCGGGTTGGATAATAAATTTCGTAAAATGTCAGTACTGGAAGAAAAAGTGAAAGACGATTGCCACGTGTAATTTCCAAACTCTGAGATTTCCAGCTACAATGTGATATGCAATTCATCTGAATTTTATTTTTTCTTCTGTCTGTTTTTGAAGGACCACAAGGGCACACCTCCAGGACCACTTGTGGTCCGCGGACCATAGTTTGAGAAACTCTGTCCTAATCTATACGCCAGTGCCTTACCAAAGGACCGCCACGGTTATGACAACTATTCGCCTTCGTCTTCCACATATCCTACCACTTCGTTTCTACCTTTACAAAATTCCTCTTTCCTACTTGCTTCGTTTCAGTCATTTTATGACTAACGGTTGGCCAGTCACTTTCTCTTAATTTAGAGCACATTCTTTCGCTCATGACCAGATCTTAGTCTTGAAGTAAGCGTCACTGTTTGGCCTTTAATAGGAATTCTTTCTGATCACAAGACGGGTCTATCCCTTCTCACAGGCAATTACTTTCTATATTTCGTCCTTCCTCCTCTAAACTACTCGTACATGTCACGACCTCTACAACTGTACATATATACTGCATCTGGCTTTATTGGCAGTATATATAAGCCCCCTGTCAGTCCATAACAGATTCTGCCGTATTTTCATTTGCTCACACTAGACTGGCAATTTAGTCACCTCAGCGATCATAAGCTTCACCACTGCAGAATTTAAGCCTCGTGTTCTGTCGGGCGCCCGTCAGAACTGGTAGTGTAAATATTAAAACGATTCGAGCGATTAGACTTCGCCATTTGTTGGCACGATTCGTCGCCTATACGGAGCACGCTGAAGCATTTTCGTTCTGAAAATATGAATTGTTTTACGAACAGTTTGGGCACGGTACTGTTTGCGGGTCATTTGCACGTAAACAATAACACGGTTTGGGATGCAAAGGGTTGAAGGAAGGGGGTCTTACCGCCCTTTCTTTGCTCACTTCCACCTTCTCCTTCTTCTTCTTCACACGCTGGGTCGCCTCTAGTAGGTTCTTCTTTCTTGTTGCTAATTATCTCAGGGTTAATTTAAAAGAAGGGGGTTTTGTTGATTTGGTAGAGCTGAGTACTTCTTATCTCAGAACCTTAAACGGGCCACAACTCAGAAAGGAATAAATTAACACCACAAATCACAAGCACATCTCAAGTTTGGACGAAATATATTGAACACTTGTTAATAACTTTTGATACAGTTTCAATGTCAGTAACCTTTATGTTTAACTGCTTCTGAGCCCGGTGTATAACTTTTTGCTGCTAATTCTAACGACTCCAAGTTTCCGAATTTACATCTGTTTCCTTCTACTCCCGATTTCAGAATTTACGTCTGTTTCTCACGAGTCCCCCTTTCCGACTGACGCTAAAACATGACGCTTCCTCAAACCTTCAATTCCAGCTTTCACCAGCGTCACTGCCCTGTCACACCCTTAAATTTTAGTGATTGGCTAATTTTGAAAAATAGGAGTATCTTAATTAGATATTCCTCCACTCCGCTTAAAGCTTACAAGCTATTACGGATTTTTGACTCCAACGTATTTCTGTCAGAAAGTGACAAATGCTTAAGCGTCGCTTGGGCCCTAAAAACTTCACTCTTTTTAAGTTATGGCATGTACAAACTGCCAAGTATTGAATTTACAAAAGATTTCTTTACCTGATTCTTTAACGCAACTTTCACTAATAAACCTTTGACGGGTGTCTTCCTGT